CACACACACACACACACACACACACACACACACACACACACACACGGACATCTGTGTGATGACATCATGTCTCCAGACTGTGCCCTAATCCTTACAGAATGGGGGTGGAAAATTACCCCATTACCAGTGCCTCTGTTAGCCTAATCCACTGCAGGTAAGCTCGATCACACTGTTGGTAGCCTAGGCCCTGAAGCCAGCTGAACACAGCCTGAAGTTATGAACCATCTCACTTTACAGACGTATTCCGCTAGGCCTCTCCCATGCAGCCCCTCCTTGCTGTTGGGAATGTTCCCCAAGAGAGAGTTGAAGAAATTGGTCATTTCAAGGTTATCCAAGATAGAAATAGATGGACTGCAGAGTAGCATGGCCTTTCTAGTAGAATAATTCAAAATGTCTCATTGATAGCATATATATGTAAATAAACAAATATATAAACAAACAAGTAAATAAAGAAATATGTAAAGCAATACCCTGATTTGACGGAAGTGTGCTGATCCTTCTTACTGTGGGACAGGCAAGTGACAGAATTCCATAGTGCTCAAAAGCCAGTTTCTTAAAGGAGAGAGGCTCTTAGCTGGAACCAGGAAAATGGGATCTGTTCTCAGCTCTGCTCCTAAGCACAGAAGAAATGCTTATTGGTCCCCTCTTCCCTCCTTCCCTCCCTCCCCCTCCTCTCTCTATCTGTTTTGATTATCAGAGGAACAATAAAGCCCATATAAGACTAAAGCCTGTGGCCAATAGTACTCTGATTTTTTTTTTTTTATATTGCTTCTACAACAGTTATGCCTGATGACTATAAAGGTCATGTTTATTTACTTATGTTTAATATTTAAAGATTTATTATTTTTTTGTGTGTATGAGTGTTTTGCTGAATGAATGTATGTGCACCAGGTGTGTTCAGTGCCCACACGGGTCAGAAGAAGGCATTGAATACACTGGAATTAGAGTTTGAGGAGGTTGTGAACCACCACATGAGTTCTGGGAACTTTGCAAGAACAGCAAGTGCTCTTAACTGCTGAGCCATCTCTTCATTCTCTCAAGGTCCTTTACAAAATATTTAAAATCGTATTCATTCTGCCTGCAAGCTCTACCTGCCTGTGAAAGAGGGATGCAGAGTGCTCTTCAAGCAGCCCCTGCTACTGGGGACTGCCCATGGCCTCATGCCAAGCTGGAGCTCTAGCTCCCCCTTTAACATTTTACGTAGAGATAGCGTCTCACCAAATTGCACGGACTGGCCTTGAACTCACTCTTGTAGCTTCAGCAAGCCTCAGACTTGCCATTTGTCTGCCTTAACATCCCAACCAGCTGGGATGACAGGTGGTTCTGGAAGGTCCTTCCCCACTCTCCTTTCTTTAAAAAAAACAAAAAACCTATTTTTTGTTTGTTGTTAATGTGTGCATATGGGGGAGGGCATGCATGCCATGGTGCAAGTGTGGAGCTCAGAGGGCAATTTTGTGGAGTTTGCTCTCTCCTTCAATCTTGAAGAGGTTTCCAGAAATCAAATTTAGGCCATGAGGATCGCACGCACCGCCTCAAGTGCTGTGTGAGCAAAGCCATGTCACTGGCGCCCTGGAGGCAAGTTCTTAATGTCTTAAAACCTCCATTTTCTCCTCTCTGCTGATGGGGCTGACAGCTGCCCTGTGTGCAGTGTTTGAAAGAGTGTTGTTGTCTCTGTGCCTGGCACGTGGTGGCACTCCCCAACAGCGGTTGTTCCTTGGTGCATAGGTAAGGTCTCCTTTTATAGACCTGGATTCCTGGGGTCTGGGGGCCTCTCAGTTGGCTGAAAGATTCCAGGCTTAGGGCTCAAGGGAACATTAGGTGGATTGTCCTTTTTGGGTAAGGTGTGTATTCAAAGAGTTAATAATGTCACGGGCTGACAGACAGCAAGGTAGGGGCTCTGCTTGGAGATCAGGTCCATGAGAGAGTGAGGGCGTCTCTTCTTATAGGCCTCAAAGGAAGGAAAGTTTTAGTGGTAGTCAGACTGTTTCTGAGTTCTAGGCAGGTGACAACTGTTGAGTTCTTGTGGATGCCCCTGTCACTGACTACCATAATGTGAATAAGAAATCACATTTTAGAAGTGATGTAACAGGAAGTGTATTGTTAAGTCTTTTGTAAGACACTCTGCAGTAGACAGAAACTGGTCCAGCCTTCCTCTCCCTCCTCTCTTTTCTGCCATTGATGAGAAGATGTGTGAGGCCATCACTGCCAAAGCAGGTCCTGTAGAGCTCTTCATTTATAGCAGGAAGGGACCACGAGTTTTCATGTTTTAAAATGACTTGCCCAGGGCTAGGAGTGTAGCATGATGGCAGAGCACTTCCCTAGTATGTTCGAAAGCCCTGGCGTTCTTTGGCACCACAAAATAATATAAGTGAGTAATAAAAATAAAAAGCTTGCTAAAGCAGAGTCTTCAGGTATAGAAAGATGAATAAAGTTCATAACAGCCTTAGTCCTCTCAAAATACTGTAACAAAATACCCTATGCTGGATGGTGTATGAACAGCAAACATTTCTCAGAGTTGTGGAGGCTGGGAAGTTCAGTGTCAAGGCATACGCCCATCAGACACTTGGGGCTGCTTCCTCTGTCTATCTCACAGATGATGAATTTTCCTTTTGTGCTCTCAGGGTGAAAGGAGCAGTGGGTATCTGGATGCTTCCTTCATGAAGGCTCTAATCTCATTGATAAAGGCCTTGCTCCATTATGATTTTCCAAGAGCCTCAACTCCAAATGACATTACCTTGTAGCTGAGGGTTTCAACATTTGAGGAAACAAAGCAAGCTTCTAGCTTTCCTTACACAGCTCTGTCAATCCTGGTGCGGAAAATGCCAACAGGACATGTTGGTTGAACTCTGAATATCAAGAAGCAACCTGAGGGGTTCTCATTTCATCACTGTGCTTGGGGGCTAGACACAGCTCCAAGCGCTGCAGCCTCAGCTCGTGTTCCCGCCCTGTGGTTCTAACAGATACACGCTGCTGTGACTTTTGCACACAGTTGGCAAGAAGCTGGCCCAAGAGTCTTGCTGAGTCAGGCTCTCACAGCAGATGGATGGGAGGACAATGGACAAGGGTAGGTGAGGTGTAAGAGAAACTGAATTGGGCTGGCTAAGAAATTTGACACAGCGGAAAGGAAAAGGACAAGGGCTGCATCCCTTAGAGATGAGAAAGAAGGGAATGACTGGGATGCCACACAAGGAGACACACTATGAAAATCAGGAAGGACTGGAGTTAAGGATGTGGGGAAGGGAAAGAGGTTCCTCATTCTCCGTGTGAGTGAGTAAAAATAAACGGAGATGTTGAAATATTTGGAACCAATGGTGATGGCTCTTCGGCCATACTGTTTTAGTAAATGCTTATTTATTTATTTTAATTTATATTTGTGTGTGTGAGTGGAAGCATGTATGTGCCCCGGCCTGTGGTGTGGGAACTAGGGGAATACTTTTGAGAGTCACTTCTCTCCTTCTACCTTCTTATTGGACAGGTTCTCTCTTGGCTTTATCTCTTAATTTCTCAGCTATAGAACCCAAAATATTGCTCTCTGAGCTTATGCCAGGTTGTCTCAAATTCTGCAGAAAGATCATGGGTTAATAGTGGAAACCTCAAGCTTCTGCCCAGTTCTCTTGTCTCTGCCTATCTGTGAGGATTCTGGAACTGAAGATGCATGATCATAATATCCAGCTATTCATGTGGATCTTAAGGACCAAACTCCAGTCATCAAGCTTGCACAGCAAACTCTTCTACCAAGCTGAGCCAGCCCCATGGCCCTAGAAACTTAATGAGCACATGGTGTGCTGATTAAGACTGCAGCCACTAGAATTAAACTCCAGTTTATAGCTCACTGTGTGAACTCTGTCGGGTCATTTAACCTATTTTCTGTGAAAATAGAGATAACAGTAATTTAACATGGTTTGTGTGGCCCTTCAAAGAGATGGTCTATGATCTGCACAAGGGAACACTATTCAGCCATACAGGAATGAAGTACTGACCAGTGATACAGCATGGAAAAACCTTTCAAACAAGATGCCGAGAGACACAGAAGGGCACATATATGATTTCATTTTCATGAAGTAAATTAAAATCCATTCGGACATGTAGCTCAGTTGGTAGAGTGCTCACCTAGCATGCGTTATGTCCTGGATCTGATCCCCAGCACTGCCTAAAACTGGGCATGGTGGTACAAACCCTGTTCCCTGGGGAGGTGGAAGCAGGAAGGTCAAAGGTTCAAGGTCATGCTTGACTACATAGCAAATTTGAGGCCAGAGTGGGCTCAATCTTTCTCCTCAAACACAGCAGCTTATAGAACAATTCTTATGAAACACAAGCCCCGAATATGTTAAGTACCCATAAAAGACTTGAGAAAATCATCTGTTGATAATACTGTCTTTATAGTATACTTTCTTTTAGCTTTACACACCCTCATTGGTGTCTGTTTATGTGTTTATGTTGTCTTTTAGAGGTATGTTGAGAAAAATCAGGAATGAGGGAAGTTCGAAATGTTATTAGTGTAAGATATTTGCGTGTGTGTGTGTGTGTGTGTGTGTGTGTGTGTGTGTTTGATTGCAATTGGAAGCCAGTGGTCAACATGGGAGGTCTTTCTCAATCCCTACGTTATTTTTTGAAGTTTTTCTTGACATTTTCTTTTAACAGTTTGCGGGGCAGAGGGAACTTTATACACAGCTAGTGGGACTAAAAACGTCCAGTCACTGTGACGTCAGTATCAGAAGTTTAAAAAAAATTAAGAATGCTGTTCATACAACCCAGATATTCCACTCTTTTTAACCAAAGTATTTCAGACCAACAAATCACAGAGATGCTTCCACACCCATGTTCCTGGTGGCACTATTTACAATAGATTAATTATGGAAACAACCTACATGTCTACCAGTGGAGGAAGGGATCAGGAAAATGTGGTGTAGCTATATGAACTGAAAATTGAAAGCCGGAAAAGAAAATCAAAATCATACCATTGTAAGAAAATAAATGCAGTATGTTTAATCATATACTGATTTCTTTTACTTGTGGTCCTATATTTTATATAGATAGAATCAGGTATGAATATATGATATAATAGGAAAAGGAAAAGTGGTTAGGGAGACTGAGGAAACTCTAATGGGTGGGAAGAGAAAGGAACACAGTGGGCATAGGAGAATTATGCACTACATACAATACATACATATAAAATACTCTGAATAAATAAAATCATTTAAAACATACCAATGAATTGAAATATTTTTGAAAATGGGAGTTTGCCAAACAAAGTAGGTCTACATCTTAAGGTATGTTTTCTATGCCATGTTATTTTTCTTCAAGTACACATATTATCTATGTAGTTAAATTATGATTTTCATTAGGGATGTTTTCATGTCCCATATGTAATACATTAAAATGTAATATATTAAAAATCATATCTAGTGGATATGTGGTAAGATAGAAAAGTAGCTCATATACTGCACATATAAGTAGCAAACTTTAATATTAATATTGAGTGAGTAAAAATGCGCATGTGCTTAAGCATGTACACCATGGCATTCATGTGAGGTCAGGAAATTACTTTCAAGCATCACTTTTCCCCTTCCACCATCGTTGGGTTGAAATTCAAACTCAAGTTGTGTCCTTACCATATCGACAGTCCTGTTTTCTGTTGTTGTTTTGTCTTAAGGATTCAAGGAAAAACATACCTTGGACGCTGCCAGTGTTGAGTTAATATTGTTGAACGCCTAAATGGTTCTGAACTTGAAATCTCACTTTGTAACTGTTTTTCCACTCTCCCAGCTGAGAAGGTCACCTGGAGAAGTCTGCTTCCCTGGAGGAAAGAGGGACCCGGTGGACGAGGATGACACGGCCACTGCTCTCCGGGAGGCCCAGGAGGAGGTGGGGCTGCAGCCCCACCAAGTGGATGTGGTCTCTCACCTGGTGCCATACCTGCTTGATGTAAGGACCGCCATGGGCCCTCCTGGGGCCCCAGGGGGCTCCCCACTTGTTCAAACATAATTCCCAAGAACCCTGTGCACACAGCCAGGAGAAGTGCATAAGCCCCTCTGGCCACATCCAGAAGAAAGCGGGGAGCTCTCCCAGTGATTTTCAGAGGGGAGCCCTGGAACCCAGGGCGTACTCAGAATTGTTCCATTAATGTTCGGTTCGTGTGTTCTTTTCTCCAGCATACATTTAGTTTGAGGATTCAGTTGAAAAATAATACACTATTGCACAACATACTAGCCAGTCTCCTTCTGGAGGGGCCAATGCTTTCTGCTTACTCGAATGTCACCCGTTTTGGTACACGCCTTGGAATAAAACGTCCTCTTGTCACAGGCCTATGGGGCCTGCTACCCCCAGTCTATCTTACGTACCACCTGCATTTGATTGTCAGGTCGCTGTGGTCCCTGGGTCTGAGATGCTTTCCCACATTTCATGTTTATCATGGCAGTTTTAGGCTATACTGGATGTCCTTCAATTCGGGTACCTCATGGTTAAGGAACTTTAGAAAACGTTTTGTTTTTATTTATGGGTGTGTGGGGTTGGTGATGAATGTGCAAGCAGGATCCCACAGAGACCGAAGGTGAGTGTCGAATCCGCTAGAACTGGAGTTATAGGCAGTCAGGAGCCACCTGACGTGGATGCTTGGAACCCTAACTCTGGTCCTCTAAGGAGCTCACCACTGCTGAACCAGCGCTCCAGACCCAGGGCTCCTCTTAGTTAGACTAAGGTTACAGTTTGGGAAAAGAAGAGCAAGATCATTTGACAAGCTACCTAAAAGCTGCCAGTGTTTGCCACTGCATTCCTGCGTGGCTTGGGGCATCCTTATTCTATAAACCAAACAGCACAGGAAAACCTGGAGCTAGGATGGCTGAGAGTCATTGGCTGTTGCATTGGAACAGTCACTGCTGAGCGAGTGGACTTCAGGAGTCGACTTGCCGATTTTAACTTGCCAGCATTACTTTATCAGTATAAATGTACTATAACCCTCTAAGTTCATGTCCAGGATGGTGAAAGGTTAGTGGTCATCTGTTCTCATGTCACCACACCCTGACTGCTGTGGTAGTGTCACAGCTAAGAAACAAGGATAGAACATTATTATGAACTAAACCCACACCTTTTTTAAAACTACTTTTCCTGTTGTTTTCTCTTCTGCCCTTGACCCCATCCTCCATACCAGATTGTATCCAGTTTACAGATACACAGAGACAGGGAGACAGAGATAGTGAGACACAGAGTAAAAAGAGCATTAAAGGGAGGGAAATGCGGCAGCGTCTTCCTCTTTAGTTGCATTTCTAAATGGGGTGATTTCAATTAATGTCTACCAAGTCCCCAACACATTTTAGGTAGTCGAGTTTAGAATTCTGTTGAGTCATTGAGCTAAAGTTGTTAAAAGTTCCTCAAACCAGAGTAGGGTTCCTACTGACCCAGGAACTTCAATTTAGAGATCACACCTGTGTTCAGTCCCAGTCACTCTTGTAGGCTTTCCAATAGAAGGTGAAGCCCCTCCATCCAGCAGGAACTCTGGGTCATTTGCAAGCATTTGTGCTCATAAAATAAAACTACCCCTCCAAAGTACAAATGCATAGGTGATAAATATATGGCTTATATATTACAATAATTTATAATATATATATATATTATAAATATATGGCTTACGGTTTTATGTCTCTATTTCCTCTAAATAGAAGCGTGCCACAAGTAATATCATGTCACTTTTCTGTTCTTAAGGCCTCATGCCCCCTCCTCACCAGGAGGAAAGGGTATGTGACTCCATTCCAATGTATGACTTCAACCGTAGTTTAACCTGTGTATCCATCAGTGAGAAGTAGTGACTGTGGAGTTTGGAGCTGTTTGCAGATAATACTTTCACTTTGTTTGTGTGTCTTTACTTGCATGAAGGGATTTATAAAGTAGATACACTCACACATATGTGATTCCCAAGTCAAGGGGATTATGTTTTGAATAACACCACTTCATGGCCATTTGAATCTCACACACACATAAACACACTTTCAGATGCCAACTCAGGTAGAGGATCTCTGTTACATAGGGGGGCATGAATTTGTATCTGGGACACCCCACCTGCCACCCCTGACCCTCTTTAAACCTCTTTAAACCATATATCCTAGCTTTGGTCTTTCTTCTCTTAGAAGTGGCCTGAGTTTAATCTTTGAAATGACATTGCTGTACTTTGTAATGTGTGGATTTTGGTCTCTGCTTTCAGAAAGATGTGCTGGTGACCCCCGTAGTGGGTTTTCTAGACCACAACTTCCAGCCCCAGCCTAATGCTGATGAAGTGAAGGATGTGTTCCTCGTGCCTTTGGACTATTTCCTGCAGCCCCAAGTCTACTACCAGAACCACTTTACACACTCTGACCACCATTTAGTCATACATTGCTTTGAGTATACAGACCCTGAAACTGGTGTGAAGTACCTAATCAAGGGAATGACCTCAAAACTGGCTGTGCTGGCCGCCTTAATTATTTTGGAAAAAAGTCCCTCCTTTGAGATCGAGTTTGATCTCAATGACCTGATACCATCTTGCGAAAAGACCTTTCTTCGTAAATATCCTTCAAGCAAGTTGTGAACACAACAAAACCTAAAAGAACACCGACGAGGTTTTTGCGTGAGCTAATGCACGGAACAACGTGGTTAGTAAGTGGGAACTGACAGGTGTGAATATTTTTCCTGCAACGCGAAGGTAAAGGCCTTGCCTGGTTTCCAGTTGCCGTTTTTCATCTATGACATTAAAAGTCTTTCCCAAGTGGAAAAATGCTTTGGCAGGGCAGTATAATTTTACCCACAATGCAAATATTTTGAGTCAATTTAGGGTTATCTGGCACATAATAAATATTTGTTGTGAATATATATATGGCTTGGAACATTTATCTCATTTTAAAGTATTTGAAATATTTTTTTAGAGTGTCGCCTACTAATTTATTTATTGGTTTATTTTAATTAATTGCAATTTTTGTTCATAGTACATCCTGGTTGTAGCCCCATCTCTCCTCCTCTCCCAGTCCCACCCTCTCTTTACCCCCCTCGCCTATTCCTCAGAAAAGAGGAGCTCCCTTTCCCACCCACCCCAGCTCATCAAGTTGCATCAGGCAGGACTGAGTGTGTCCTTTCCCCCTGTGGCCTGGCAAGGCCGTCCTGCCAGGGGGAGTGGTCAAAAAGCTGGCAAGTGAGAATGAGTCCTTCCTTGTCTGATGTAGTCCTCACTTCCCTTACTAGAAGATCCACATGAAGCCTGGACTGCTCATCTGCTACATCTTTGTTAGAGCCTAGGTCCAGTTCATGCATGATCTTTGGTTGATGCTTCAGTCCCAGCAAGCCCCTCTGGGCCTTGGTTAGTTGGCTCTGTTGTTTTTCTGTTGTTTTTCTTTTCTTTCCAATCACCTCTAGGTCCTTTTCTTTTTCTTCTCACTTTTCCACAAGACTCCCTATACATTGCCCAATGTTTGGCTCTGAGTCTCAGCATCTGTGAGGCACTGCTGGGTAGAGTCTCTCAGAGGACAACTCTGCCAGGCTTCTGTCTGTAAGCTTAGCAGTGTATTTTTAATCTGTTGTTTTCTGTGACAAAAACTTCTGGCTAAGGGGCTGCAGAGATGGCTCAGAAGTTAAGAACACTGACTGTTCTTCCAAAGGTCTTGAGTTCAATTCCCAGCAACCACTTGATGGCTCATCCCCATCTATAGTGAGATCTGGTGCCCTCTTCTGGTGCAAAGGCACACTTGCAGGCAGAAAGTTGTAAAAATAATAATTTTTTTTAAAACGTGAAATTAAATTGTTAAAAAAAACAACCTAGAAACCTACCACAGAGGGCCTCTGAAAGGCTCTGCCCTGCAGCCTATCAAAGCAGACGCTGAGATTTATGGCCAACTGTTGGGCAGAGTGCATGGAATCTTATGTAAGAAGTGGGAAATAGTAAGATCTGGAAAGGACAGGAACCCCACAAGGAGAGCAACAGAACCAGAAAATTCGAATACAGGGGTCTTCCCAGAGACCCATACTCCAACCAAGTACCATGCATGGAGATAACCTAGAACCCCTGCACAGATGTAGCCCATGGCAGTTTAGTGTCCAAGTGGGTTTCATAGTAATAGGAAGAGGGACTGCCTCTGACATAATCTGATTGGCCTGCTCTTTGATCACCTCCCCCTGAGGGGGGAGCAGCCTTACCAGGCCACAGAAGATGACAATGCAGCCACTCCTGATGTGATCTGATAGACTAAGATCAGAAGGAAGGAGAGGAGGACCTCCCCTATCAGTGGACTTGGGGAGGGGCATGCGTGAAGAAGGGAGAGGGAGGGTGGGATTAGGAGGGGAGGAGGGTGGGGTTTATGGGGGGATACAAAGTGAATAAAGTGTAATTAATAAAATAAATTAAAAAAACCTTCTGGCTAGTCATTCAAACTTACCCTCTTGGGACTAGGGAGATATCTTGACCAATTCAGTACCTGTCTTGCAAGTATAAGGGTCTGAGTTGGACTGCCATTGCCCATGTAAAATGACCCAGATGTGGCAATGTACATTTGTAATCCCAGCATCGGGGACACAGAAACAGGCATCTCTGAGGCTTACTATGCAGGCAGCCTATCCTATTTGGCAAGCTCCAGGTCGGTGAGAGCCTTCGTTTCAAAAAAGATGTTGGCAGTGCCAGAGGAATGACACCTAAGATGGTCCTCTGACCTCCACACACATGTTCATACATGTGCAAACACACACACACACACACACACACACACACACACGCACGCTAACACATACTTTACCCGCAATGGAATCTTTGACAGTAGAATTTAAGCTAGGTTAGCAGACTCCCCAGGATCCTTTGCCATTAAATGGGCCTCTGGGGTTTAGTCTGGAGCAAGGTGATGTAGGGGAAAGATCACTTTGCCAGTTATGTTCAAGGTAAGAGAGAAGACAGCTTCCATCAGGCTTCACTTCTGTCTTCTATGAGCTGCAGTAGGGAAATACCTACATTTAGGGGTAGATGGAGAAATCCCTAAAGGAATGGCAAAGTGCAAAGAATGGTCAGAGCCTGGTTCCCTGAGTGACACTATGGAGCAAGGCAGCCCTTCAAGCCAAGCTGTTCACAGGAGTCAGTGACGGAGGACAGTAATAAAATTCTGCCATCTTTCTGTATTATAATTTTGGGCACTTTCATTGCAATAGTGCCGCAACCCTAAATCATATACTAGAATACTTGAAAATGACAAGATGAGTGTTCACCCAAGCTCAAGGGATTACAAACAAAATTGATATCCCAGCCCCAACTTTTTATGTGAAAATTCTGTAATGTGCACAGGGTGTCATAGGCCCAGGAGGGGGAAGGTGGTAGACATTCAAATCAGCCAAAACAGATAAGCAGGAGAGGCCTATATTCCTCCAGATATAACCAGCCATCTCCCAGTGTGCTGATGGCAAACAAAACACTGATTTCAAGCATAAATCCCAAATCAGAAAGACAAGAATTCCAAGCTGCATGCTTTGAGATCTACCACCTCCTCAGTGGCTGTCATCACAGACCATGCCTCAGCCCCAGCAGGGATTTCTGTGTTTAATTAGGATATCAACTGTGCCAAGGTCAGAGAGTCGGGTAAGTAAAGTAACTACAATTCTGCAATGCTAATTTTACATCATACTGAGTAGTATTATTAGATTTTCTTAACTATGGCTGAAAATCTGATGCCCTCACTAAACCTGTCAATCTGCTAGAGAAGTGTCCATTGCTGCTGAGTGTTGGGGCTTCCCCCCCCCCTCAAAGTTGGCAGAGGCAAGTACCCAGTTCACTGCTTTATGCCCATAAATGTTTAAATGGCGCAAATCTGGATCCAACCAGGAAAGCAGATGTTGGGTGAGCATCTCCATTAACATTCTGTAACTAGCCCTGCATGAGCAGGCCTGAGCTATTTCTGAGCAATTATAGAGGCATTTGCAAATGTGTATTTACAATCTGACAGCGGTGTAATTGCTGGGTAGATGGCTGACCTCACTGGCAGTGCCGAAAGCCTCCCTTCACACTGTTGACGTGAACTACGTAGGCCTGCTTTCTGAAAGGAGCTGGGGCCGCTGAACTCCACAACCTGAAGACAACCAGGTTAGAGTTCCAGGCATTTATTGATAGCTGCATTATGGTCCCTGTCCTTTATTAATATTTTAGTACAGCTATGTTCAGGGCTCTAATATAAACATCAAATCTAGATCAAATCAAAAGAGGTGTTGGGGGCTGGAAAGAGAGCTTAATGGGCAAAGTTCTTGCTGTGTAGGTTTGAGGGCCTAAGTTCTAGCCTCAGAACCCATGTTTGTAAAGAAAAAGAAAAAAAAGCCAGATGCCTGTTTGCAATCTCAGGGCTAGCAGGATAAAAGCAGGCAGAGCCACTTGAGGCTCAGTGGCAGCCCGCACTAACCAAATGGGCAAAGGGCTGGGTAGATGGCTCAGGTGGTTCAGTTAGTGCCTGTTTGCTGCCCAGGTATAAGCATCCAAGTTTAGATCCCCAGAACCCATGGACACGGCAGTACAAGTCTGTAACCCCAGTGCTGGGGTGGAAACGAGTACATGCCGGGGCTCACTTGCTAGACAGTCCAGTTGAAATGATGACCTTCAGGTTCAGTGAGAGACCACCAAATATCAAACAAGTGATTGAGAAAGAACCCTGAGGTCAATTCCTGGCTTTCCACATGCAGTCCTGTGGCCTGAGTGCACCTGAATACACACCATCTTGCCATGTCCATACTCACACAAAGATGGATGGTTGGCACCTAAGGAATGATGCCCAAGGCTGTTGTCTGGCCTCCACATGCCTGCAGGCATGTGCATATGAACTCTCTCTCTCTCTTCTGTCTCTCTGTGTGTCTGTCTCTTTTCTCTCTTCTCTCTTCTCTCTGTATCTCTGTGTCTCCACCTCTCTGTCTCGTCTCTCTATCTGTCTCTGTCTCTCTCACCATGGTGCTGATCTCAGGGAGTCTACAGTGCTATTGACCAGATTAGCCTCAAGGATAAGAGCACACAGGAACACACGCTCCTGAATCCAGGAGGATCAAAGCCAGGAAGATCTGGCCCTTCTTTCTGCATCCTGTCATGACTGTAGTAAGAACCATCTGTTAGAACTGATGCAGACAAAGAAGAGCAACCTGTTTGCCAAGTTATAAAATCAGCCACGGTGCTCATCAACAGAAGATTGATTAAATGTGGTGTACACATACAGTGGAGTTTTATTTTAGCCACTCGGAAGAATGAGATCATGTCACTTTTATGAAACAGGAGAGTATGTTAAGAGAACTAAGACTAAGTAAAACAGATGTCACATTTTGTTCCATGTGAATCGTGTGTGTGTGTGTGTGTGTGTGTGTCAAAGAGAGACAGACAGAGATTACATAAATATAGGAGGGGGTAAATCCTGGATAGTTTTATGTCGACTTGACACAGCTAGAGTCACCTGAGAGGAAGGAATCCCAGGTAAGAAAATTCCTGCATAGGATCAGGCTGTAGGCAAGCCTGTGGGGTATTTCCCTAACTAATGATTGATGAGGTAGGGTCCAGCCCATTTTGGATAGGGGCATCTCTGGGGAGGATTGTCCTGGGGTGTATAAGAAAGCAGGCTGAATAAGCCACTAGGAGCAACCCAGTAAACATCACTCCTCCCTGGCTTTGCATCAGCTCCTGCCTCCAGGTTCCTGCCCTGTGTTTGAGTTCCTGCCCTGACTTCCTTTGATGATGAACTATGATATGAAAGCATCAGCCAAAAAAAAAAAAAAAGTTTCCTCCTCAAGTTGCTTTTGGTCATGGTGTCTTGTTATAGGAACAGATACCCTAATTAAGACAGGGAATATTTGGGCACAGGTGAGAGAAGAAGGGGACTGGG